CAACTACTGAAAATGTTACAGGGATCGAGAGTGAAAAACAGAACGGATACCTATGTTTGCACAGCTCAGTAAAGTCAACTTTAAGGTCACGGGTCCAAAGGGCACGTAATCCAGGTTCGAAGTTTAATTGCCATCCGTTTTATACTTCATATCCATGTCAACGTTTAAAAAGAAAAAATTAAAATACTTTTCTTGGACCGTGCAGAGAACAGCCACAGGCAGAGTGAAGTCCAGAGGCAATTTAAATGGAAATCAATATGTCATGTATGCACGTTTCTTTTTTGACCAGTTTCGTGCAGTCACGTTTCAAACGGCACGTGGTATATTTTCAAATTATTTCCGATCATTTTTTTAATTTCATACCCGTATCATCGTGTAAAAAGTAATGAAGACAACCCTTTATAAAAGTAATATGATAAACAACAAGAGGTAAAGTGAAATACAGAGGCAAACCTATGTTTCTACACTTTGTACAAGGTCTCAAGCACATGCATGTTTACAATTTTCGGAAGGAGCAAAAAGATGTTGTGCAAACAAGAATTAATGTAAGCCTGGTCAAAGTAAATAAACAACCCCGTTTATTGAAATGCTGAGCCTTTGCTCAAACAACTACATGTTACTTAATTAACTAATGAGTTTAAATTTTCCGCTCCTGTACCGGAGAAGTTACAGCGAGAGGAACAGAGCCAGCACCAACTGACACAGAACTGAAGACGGACACAAGGCGATAGAATGAAGAGTTATTTGTCTATCGCTCTTTTAAGCAAAAACCCGTGCGAGGAGAAGTCGCTGTCCAAAAGGCTGGACGAGATCGAAAAAATGAAAAAGAAGATTCTTCGCGAATCAGCTGCCAAAATGTCAAGCTTTGCCCTCCAGCACTTGTACATCGCAAAGTACTATGATGCGAAAAATGGCGAACAATGCCGACCACCTCCCAAAGTCAGTCAAAATGGTGCTTGCCCCTTACCAAGGTTGGCTGAGAAACCAAAGCAAAGCATGAGTCCATATTTTCTGGATAGAGCTGAACTGAACGCCGATTGCACAACTTCCATGCCCAAATCTCGTGGAAGTTTGTCAGAAAAGTGCCTTCTCCTGACACCAAAGTCTACCGGGCAAGACCATGCTCTAGTTGAAAGTAAAGCTCCAAGTATTAGCAGTGGACCAAATTATGTTCCCAGGATCGCTTCAGCCCAAAAGTCTGAGCCAAAGTACCGTCGCAGTGTATCGGACGTTGTGGCCCCAATTCCTAGCTTGATGTTTGTGGGGGAAGACGCAGAATCGGAGGACGCCTCAAGAAGATTCAACGCCTGGGATTTAAAAGAAGTCAAAGAAAATTTAAAGAGTTGCAATAATGCCCTTCTAAAGCGAAAAGTCTCGCAGTACCTTGCTCCTAAATTAGAAGATATTGTGCTGGAGGGCTGCAAGCGAAAGGAATCCGAAAGTGTCCCGAAAGATGATTGCGAAGCAGCACCCGACGAGGGACGGAAGGCCGTTGTTCCAATCCAAAGAAGACAACGCCGAGCTACTGTAGCAGGAGAGAGGCCTTCCTTAACCCGAGAGTTCAATCGCTGGCAGAAGACAGTTAAGCTCGTGAAAGACTTGCCAAAACATGAGCAAGCAGAGATCTTACGAGGAGCTTGTTTCCTGAGGATGACAGTGCCTGGGTTTAATAGCGCTCCTATTAAAACTGAGGCATCCCGGCCACCAACTCAACTTCAAAACATCTCAACACTAATTCCGCCCCGTGCACTGAAGATTAAACACTCAACCCTGGACCCTTTGAAGTTTGCTGCGCGTACAAAATAAGACAATCCGCAAGTATCTTTTGCGGGACGATGTGTGTTACAAACAGTGCATATCTGTGCTAGTGTGATTAACTTACATCTTAAACTGTTGATTGCGGTTTGAAGTGACAATCTGTTGAACATTGTACAAAAATGCATAAGATGTTTTCAATGTATACTACGAGAGATCTCAGATTGATGTTTTTTAAACACAACCTTTCGCCTCTAGTTAAACTTAAATTTTTTTCATAGTCTTGATGGAAAATGAATAATACGAGAGATGCAGTCTCGACTGTTTTAGTTTTTGAAACACAGCCTATCACATGTACACCTTAGACCAGTTTTAAGTGAGATTCTGTAGATAGTTTTAATGAAAAAATAAAGAATGAAGATAAGAATTTATATATTTTGCTTTTGAGACTAAATAAATTCTGAAATAAACGCTATTAATTTACTGAAATCATCACCTGATAGGTACTCAACCTTGCCAAAAAGCTCTTCTTGCCTGTGCAATACTTTTGGAGATACAACCGATATTGTAGCTGTTGTTAGAATTTGAGAATCAAATGATGAATTATCAACGTTCGACCTTTGATGGTTTTTCAGTTACTTAATGTACGATGTTTTGTCAATTACTTAGCTCGAATAAACTTGAATGCACCATTGTCATTGTTCGGAGATATAAACCAGCTTTAAAATCATTTAACTTGTTCTTGGCAACTGTTACAAGCGAAATCCAT